GCAAAAATAACTGAAATACAATTTTTCCTACCATCTCATTTTTTTTACCATCATGTCCCATTAATGAATTGAATCTTATTGTAAAGTGTTACTAAACAATAATGCAAATAAACACCACAAAGATGCAATAATATTTCTTCTGATTGCGATGAGAAATTATGATTCTAAAGGAAGCCTGCAGCAATCATACATGCAATGTCACTCCTTCATGGCACTAAATCTCTGTATGCGCTCTGTGTTCTATTAGGGCAATTAGAACATGCTTTTTTATCAGAACAAGGGGAAAAAAGCATTGCACAAAACACCCAACAGATGGATGATATGGTTTAGATGAACACTGGTAAAAGTGAACGTCAATGCAGAACGCAAATGTGAAGCATGAGCATTCGAAGGGTTGTGATTTAAATATGAACTTGGCAAAGCAGATCAATTTCCTCTCGGTGCTACATGGCTCGAGATATGCGAAATACTGCTTCAGATTGTAGTTTAGAAAAGATCTTTGACTGTATCTGCCACAATTATTTTACAGAACAGTCTATTTTTCCAGTGAGCTGGTAAATTAACAAAAAAACAGTACCCAAATATCTTTAAATAACAATAAAAACATTGATATAGTCCATTTCTGTAAGTTTGTGGGAGACTGAACTTACATACGATGCTGTACACAATTTATCTTAATCGATGAAAAACCGAACACAGAACAAATAAACGACCAAATTACAAAAAAAGTATTTTGTCAGAAAGGCATTGAGTCTATTTAGTGGACGAATTGACCAACTTGCTCTTGAAAGCTGTCTCGTAAACAGCTCACAGAGAGATTTCCTTTTAGAAAACCCAAAATGGAGCAACTAAACAATTGGAGCCTGGTGGCAGAGACATTCAAAAGTTCAGTTTGGGCCGCCTGATGCTCTCAGACTTTCAGTAGATCCTCGTCGCTGTCATCAGGGTCTGGCTGAGGTTTCCTATGGTTTCTGTCGCTGTATCGGGTCTTATTTCTGCTCCGCGTGTCCACCAGGAGCCCCACCAGATCCTCATCGCTCTCTGCTTTCAGCCGCGAGGAAGTGGACGATGAAGGGGCAATTCGGACCCCTGGGACTGTGAGCACCTCGTCCTCGCTGTCCTGCTCGTCCAGGGAGAAGGAGTGCAGGGCATCAGTGCTGACCGGCTTGATGGTGATGTGACCGTTCCCTTGAGGCTCCCGCGTGGGTGTCCCGGTCTCTTCCATTAACCATTCCATCTCATCTTCACATCCGTCCTCATCTGTGTTCACCTATCAAGAGACGAACAGAAAGACAAAAAAACAAAAAAAAAACAAAAACAAAAAAAGGATTATGCTCATAGTCATTCTGATGAATTTTTACTTATTGTAAACTTGCAAAAAAGATCAAACGTTACCCTGGAGTATTTGTAGGATACTGGATTTCCTTTCCTGCAGTAGCTTGACACTTTCTGTATTACAAGTTGCCTAAAAATAAGAAAATGCATATTAAGCACAGACTGAAAAACTGGTGTAGAAACTATTTTCACTCAGAAATTACTGGTAAATTTTTTACAAATAATTAAAAAAATAAATTAACAATTAACTAAACCTTAAATTTTAAAGTGATAGAATAACAATTTAAAACAACTGTTTTCTATTTTAATTTAAAATGTAATTTATTCCTGTGATGCAAAA